ACCCTAATATAGGGCTAAAATACCACTGAAAAGAGGGCGATTTTGAAAAAGCCTTCCCTGAGAAGCTTTTTCTGCACAGCTCATCCTTTCTGCCGTTTCTAAACACATTCCAAACATCAAAATCATGCCAGGACACCTCGTTTTGATCACGCTGTCTCAATGATGGTGAACCTTTTAGAGACTTAATGAACCAACTGCAACACAAAACCCACTGATTCATCGCAATGTGGCAACCCTGCAATCAAACCTGAACACTGAGGTTTTAGTTTAGAAAAAGCAACTCACAGCCAGTCCAAGCAAATATTTATATATATGCGCGCCTGGCAGTGCACTGACCGGCAATGCGAAAGCTCGGATGAGTCGCGGCTAATGAGTTGCGGCTTGGGACGTCATCCCCTGGCGCCGCTACTCCTTTCCGAGCAGGCGCAGGGCCCCTGTGTGCGCTGTTACCCGATGCTCGCCTGCTGAGGTGATGCTGGGGAGTCCTGGCTTGCATGCCAACAGAGAGGGCTCTGTGTGCCCACTGTGGCCCGGGTGCCACAGGTTTGCCACCACTAGCCAAAGCCTACCCTGGTGCGCTCCCCTAATCCTAATATAGGTGTAAAATGCCATAGAAAAGAGGACGATTTTGAAACAGCCATCCTTGAGCCGCTTTTTCTGCACAGCTCGGACACATGCCGTCGGTTCACCACTGATGTCCCAGGGCTTCTAAGTATCGGGATGTACTTCCTGGCATCCAGCCGAATTCCTTTAGCTTTGCTGCCTTGGATTGCATCCTTCCCTCCACCACAGGGGAGAACAGGTCATGACTCCCTCGCACAGTGCCTGCGTGCCTTCCGGGGAAGCAGAAGGCCCTGTCCTCAGCTGGCCCGGGACCCCCGCTACTCCCCTCGTGCTGGGGCAGCCTCTGCCCTTCCCGTGCTCACCATGGAGTGCCGCTTGCTTCTGAGGTCCGAGGCCAGCTTGTAGTTCTGCATCATCTTTTCTTGGGTGGCGTAGCCCAGGTAGACCTTGGAGAAAGCCCCCGAGCCTATCTTCTTGGAAGAGAGGAGGTAGCCGTTCTCCTTGCTTTCCCGAACCTGCTCCAGGAACGTTCTCCGGTCGGCCTCACGCTTGGAAAAGCTCCTCATGGCGTGGGAGCCCCCAGCAGGAGGGCAGCCCCGGGGAGAAGCCTGCCCTGCACCAGGGCTGCGGGAAACTCCGGCGGGACCAGAGTCCAGGAGAACACATCAGCGCTGAGGGGGGAGGCAGGAAGCAGGGGCCCTTCTAGCACGGCGCCTGGCTCATCCTCCGGTCGGGCTACTGCTCCGGGCCAACACAGGGAATGCCACGTCTGGGGATTCCTTGTTGTTGTTCAGGCGGGGAGTTTCCACAGTGACGGGGGCAGAACCGGCGCTCTGGCGGCCGTGTTCTAGAACCCAAGCATAACAAGCAGGTCCGGAACCCCCGGCCTCGGCGAGGGGCGGCCGTTGCCCTGCACCGCCCCACCACTGCCCTGCTACGAGGGCGGCACCGGCGGAAGGGGCCCAGAGCTGCTCCGCGGGACAGAGCCCGTGAGCGCCAGGGGAGCCTGGTGGGTCATGCGAACCGCGCTTGTGTCCCGCGCGGCCGGGTTCGTTCCAGGAGCAGGCAGTGGACTGCCTGGGCACCCGGGAGCCCAGGGGGGCCACTAGGTGAGGGACTTGGCCGAGCCACTGGGGGACTTCATGGCCCCCGGGAATGGCATCCACCCCCAGCCTCCAGGAGAGCCAAGGCACCCCTGGCAGCGTCCCCCGAGCCCAAAGCCCCTCCTGCCCTGGCCGTCTGGGGGCTGCATCTCTTCCACAGAGAGCAGAAAGGTCTGCTGAAAGGGGGTGTCCTTCAAAGCACATGGGAGCCGATTCCTGGGTCTAGGGAGGGGCGGCCATGACCGGCAGCAAGCAGGTTCCCTCCAGCTCCCACCGGGTCAACCCCTCGTTCTCCTAACTAAGCACGGGCCTCGCGGGGGCCCCGGCTCGTCATCTTTCTCGGTGACCCCGGGAACCCAGCACTGCCTGAGTATGGAGGGCGGCCCAAGCGAGGCTGCGGTGCTTCCCGCCTCCCAGCACCGGTGATGCAAGCGGAGTTGCAAAGGAGATAGGTCCCTGCCCCAAAGAGCTCGCACTTGGCATCTTGGCGGTGGGAGGGACCGAGGGGAGGCGAGAGGAGGGAGGGCCCGAGCGACTGCCGGGCAAGGAGGCCCGCCAGGGGCTGCCGTGGGTGTGCGGGAGAAGCGCTGCCTTTCGCCGGGGCGCCTTCGGAGCAGCGGCAGCCGTGCCGGCAGCCGGTGGGGAGCCCGCCGGGTCCTGTGTTTTGGGCCGCTGCAATGTCCGCCCAGGCGACCCAGAGCAGAGCCAGGCTATGCCTCCAGGAGGGGCAGGGCCTTCTCCCGCGCCATCCCTGCCGAGCGGCTCGGGGGGGGGCCACAAATGGCTCTGTGCACCGGCCAGCTGTGCAGCACCCGCGTCCCTGCTTCGGCTCCTGCAGCCGCCCGCTCTGCGAGCCAAGCCGGCCGAAGCCCGTCTCCCGCGAGGAGCCGAGCAAGGCACAGCGAGGCCCGGAGCCGAGAGGAAGAGCAGCTCTGCCCCTGCCTCTCTGGGCCGAGCAGCAGCAGACCCAGCTGGCCGAGCTGCGGCCGGCTGCCTTCTCACATGCCCGGGAGGGGCAGACGGGCCAGAAAGCGGGGGACCAGGCCTTGGCCCCAGAACCACGAGGCCCCGGGTGGCAGGCTCTCCTGCACCTCAGCGGGTGGCGCATCTCAGAAGCCGGCAACGAGCAAGTCTCCCCCCCAGGAGAGCGGGGAGCGGCGGGGTGCAGGGCCACGGGCTGAGTCCCGGCAGGATGCTGGGCAGGCCTCGGGCCTCCCCCTCGGTCCTGTGCCAGCCCCCGCCCCCGCTCAAGGAAGCAGCCGGGGCAGCAGGGGGCCAGGCGAGGAAGTGCAGGCGTGTTTACTCTGGCAGAAGCCTCGTGGGCTCACGCGTTGCCTCCAGTGCCAGGAGCATCCGGCAGGTGCGTTTTCTACAGCACCTGCCCTGGAAGGGGGAGGTCAGCAGCAAATGGGCTGAAAGGGAAACGTTTCCACTTTGCTGGCCTTCGATGGCTGGAGCACGTCGGCGCGGGAGTCAGTCCCCTGCCATGCGTGCGTGTGGGGGGCCTTCTCTGACGTGGCTGCGGGCGGATCGAAGAAGCAGGGCTGGTGGGGCTTGCCTGGAAGCAGGTTTTAATGCGGGGAAGTGTGCAGGACTTCCTGAGCACTGCCAAGGAACAGGAGGATGGTGTTGCCATTGCTGCCCCTGAGAAAGAGAAGGCAGCGGACCTGTAGCTCCGCCATACTGTGGTGAGGAGGCTCTGGGAGTGCTGCAGATCACAGGCTGAGCACGAATCAAGGATGTGGCATGACTGCAAAAAGGGCGGATGGAATTGCAGCCTGCCGAACAGAAGCACCACTTCCAGATCCCGGGCGGTTCCAGTGTCCCCTACTCAGTGCTGAGGCCAGGAGAGGTGAGAGGCCTCACCTAGAGTCCTGCGTCCAGTTTTGGGCACCACAGTTGAAAAGGTGCAGACAAGCTGGAAAGGGTTCAGCGGAGGGCGAGAAGGAGGCGCTGGGCCGTAGAAACGAAGCCCTGTGAGGAGAGAGTGAGATTGCTGGGCATGCTCGGCCTCGCGAAGGCTGAGGGGAGGCACGGCAGCCCCTGCAGGCACTCGCTTGAGGGGCCGTCACAGAGAGAAGGCCGGGATCTCTCTTCCCCCACCCCAGAGCACAGGAGCACATGAAATGACGGGCTCAAATCCCGGGAGGCCAGGTTCTGGCCAGACATCAGGAGGACCTTCCTGACTGTTGCAGCAGTAAGACAACGGAGCCAGTGACCAGGGTGGGGGGTGGGGGGGGCTCACCCAAGCTGGAGGCATTCAGGACACAGCTGGACGGCTCTCGGAGAGGGATGCTGGAACTTGGAGTCCTGTGCTGAGCTGACATTTGGACCACCTTGCTCCCTTCCAACTCCTTGCTACGATTCTGTGAGTTTAACTTTCTCCACGGCAGGTAGCCTGGAAGTCCGTGTTCTGAACTGTTCCAATGGGCCTCGCTTATCAGCTTGGGAAACGGGTTGCAGTTTTGCCTGCATGAGCGGAACCCAGAAATTCTGAACGGCTGCATGTGAGAGGGGCAACTTGTTTTGAAGACGTTCTGCCACCCACATGGGAGCTCTTCTGCCTCACAGCATCTTCAGCAGGCAATGGCTTTGCGTCCCTACAGCAGCTCACAGTACCTGTGAGAGAAGGGATGAAAAGCTCCCTCTCTTTCATGCAGGTTGCCCTAACACCTGCACCCCAAGAACCACGTGAGCCCAAGGAATCGGGAAGCGGCCAAGACGTGTCTGCTTTTCTGCGGAAACAAGCCAGGCGAGGCCGACAATCGGACATCCCGGTAGGAAGCGGCTCCAGCTTGCTGTGTTCGAGGTCTTTATTCTGGTTGCGCAAAACACGCGGAGAGCGACACTGAAGAGCCAAGCCAGGGGGCGGCCGAGCGGCTGCCAAGGCCGCAAATCGTAGACCCCCGGGGCCAACGCGGGCACTGCGGGCGGGCGGAGGGGGCCCGTCCAGCGGCCCCAGCCCAGGTGCGGGCGGGCCGGTCCCTCCGCCGGGG